CAAAAGTAGTGTATTTTTGGAGGATCCGACACGGGTGCGGCAGCATTTTGGAGAGTCCGCGCAACATAGGTGGAGAGGCGTGCATTAGAAGGCAATAGATCGAGGGAAAATGACGTATTTTAATAAATTCTATATTCTAATACAAAATGGAACTAATATTATGATGTCGTGGGATGGATGTGAATGTCTGATCCTTCCATTTTTAACCAAAAATTTCGAGTTAGCTCTGAAAATACAAAAAAAAACTATGGTAATTAAAGAGTGTTTTCCGATCTCTTTAATGAATTTTATGTTGTGTGAATATATAGGATCCGAATACAAGAAATTAAACTGCTATAGCTAAAAACATTTCATCCATGTCCATTTCACATACTGCTACATTAATTTACATAACTTTATTAGTTATCAATTCTCAACGTTCTTTAATTATAATATGCAGGTATTCGAAGTATACTATATGCTTCTCGATTATTTTTTCGAATACTTAATTATTATTATTATTATTATCTCTGATCATCATATATAAATATCGAGTAATATCTAGATTGTCTATATGTTTCTTTGAGGATCTGAAGCAATGAATATAGACTTAAACTTGAAAACCAAATCTTAGAAACATGCATAGATATACATGCATGTGACTCAAGAGACAAATACAATATGATCACCATACTTACGTTCAATCAATAGATAAAATAGAAATAATAATAAACGTAAGACAAGAGAAAAATATAAATTTTGAGGGAACAATCTTAATCTGTCGGATCTGAAATTCATGATTTTCACAGGTTTGGGGATTGCTGTATGGAAGTGGAAGTTATGCTACTTACATTAGAACTCGACATAATAATTAGAAAAAAAAAACAAACGACAAAACCTATCTTCTTGTAACTTTGATTTATTTAACAAAACCTTGACACATCTCATCCCAATAAAATGAGGTTTAAGTTAATTTATGTATATCGACTAAAAAAAGCAAACGATAATATCGGATGCCGGCTATTTAAAGAGTAGAAAATGACACACATATACAAGAAAGTGAAGCAATAGCATATTGTATTATAAATTTAAATTATATATACTGACAACGTAAAAAAAAAAAAAACTATGGGCTGCCCTTGATTTTTACTTACTAATTTTTTTTAAGTTGCAAAATTCCAACCTTAGAGAATACGTCACTCTCAAACGTGCATAAGGATACCTTTTGATGGAGCCTTATTTAATTAAAGACCTAACAGATCTTTTGTCCAAAAAATAAAATATTTCTCTGTCTGTTTATTTTTATAATTAACTGTAAAATCAAGATAAGGATTTTTGGTTGAGATTACCAAATAATATATCCACCACCCTCTTCCTACCTAATGAATCTTTCCACGTGAAATGTCTCCTCTTCTTAGCCTATTCTTATTCTTAATTCTATGATTCCGTTTTATCTAGTTTACTTATTGGAAAAAGGATATTGTACAGCTGTTGGAAAAATAATAGCCGAAAAAATATATAAAATTTGTATATCTTTTGTATACATATACATTCTATATGTTATATAAAAAAAGGTTATATAAATTTTATACACTTTTTCGGCTACAAAATGTAAATAGTTTCTGACGCGAGCTAAAAGTGATAATACCCGTTACTTATTCTGGATCTTAAATTCGACCTTGTCAACTGCTAATGAAAGAACAAAATTTAGATATATAGCAATACCTATTGTGGGTAAATAGATGGAGATAGAAAGAAATAACTCTCACGATTTAGAATAAAAAATATCCACAAATTCTTATGGAGTACAAAATTTAAAAAAATCAACTCTCCAATTTCATCTCTATCGCGGATATAGTCATGATTCAATAGGTCATGTCCACTTAATTTTTCTTTTTTCAAATTTAATGCAAATTAAATTTGAACTTTATGAGTTTAAATTCAGAATTTATCACATTGAATCTAATTTACTGGACTGCATATGGAATCAAAGACAACCAACACATTGTTATGTGGGGTTCCACTCTTAATGCTATTGAAAGACAATTAATTAATGTGTTCCTATTTTTTATTTTGTTTTATGAATTTCATGCAAACTCAAAATACTAGTAGTATCTATTATGCCTTAATCTATGTCCCAATGATTGTGGGAATTGTATCTCCTTGGTAACAGTAAACTAAGCTCTATTGGTTGGGCTACCAAGAAAATATCAATAACATTCTAATTTATTTGAGTTTTCAAAGTTTAATTTATTCCTTGTTATCAAAGTTTTCTTAAGAATCCCAAACCTTTTAATCATCCTTCTCTCTTTAAAATATTTTGGCTATCAGCACAAGAAACCAGAAAAAGACACTAGAGTTCAACACAATGATCTTAAAAATATTATTTAAGGTTATTGTTTTTGGCTGTCATGTCGCCAAGAGAGAGCAAGTATAAAAGTGAAGCGGTTACTACTTCTCCATCCTAAACCAGATGTTTAGGTTCGAGATGATGAAGTCGCCTCTAGTAGGGAGCACTTTACCCCAACGTGGACGTCCCGTCACGAATCCAGATTATTTGGACTCCAAAGTAAACACCGGACATCGAATAAAAAGAAAGTACAAAAGGAGGATTTGACCATCTTAATCTTTTTCCCGTCAATATGTTAACTGATTTTGGGATCATTTCTTTTATGGTTTCATTTGCTATACTTTTCCAGTTATTAAGCATGCATTTAAAATGTGGGACACTGTTATAATTCATCAAAAAGATATACTAGTGTGTCTAGCTATTTTTATTTTATGTAGCATGGGATGTGTACTTTGCTATAATGAACAAGTAATTTTCATTATGTTCTTCACTTGTTATGTCTCATTGCACATGGTAGTGACCTGTTGGTTGTACAGTGAAATCATCATAATAGTACTGAAATATTCTAACTAGAACAAATTAAACTTTGCAAATATTCACTATCGCTGCAAGTTTGTAGAAATGAGTCTTGAATTTCGAATCCGAAAACTGAGTTTAAATCAAGTCGGTGTTATTGGAAAAGCTCGAAAACATTAGCAGGGATGAAGACTATCTAAGTGGCTATATAAACTACTCTCAGTTTCGGACATGCATATGCATGTTTGAATGGGAGCCTTGACGTAACTGGTAAAGTTGTTGCCGTGTGACCAGGAGGTCACGGGTTCGAGCCGTGGAAACAACCTCTTACAAAAATGCAAGGTAAGGCCCCATATAATAGACCCTTGTGGTCCAACCCTTCCCCGAACCCCACGCATAGCGGGAGTTGAGTGCATCGGGCAGTCCTTTTATGTTTGAAACTTCAAATATTAGATATTCAAACTTCAGACATCCATCATACATGCTTATAGTTGGGGACTGCAAAGCTAAACTGCACTCTTGACATGGACTTAATCTATTATTTCTGGAATTCAGAATTGACATGTTCATTCATGTGATTAATTCATCTAAAAATACTTGCTAAAACTAATCAGGCACATGCCCTGCATCACAACTAGCACAAGTTCCTAATATACAAGATATTGTCCTAACCCGCAGAAAACCTTGAGATTTTGGTTTGCGAGATCCTTGTTGTAGAGTATGTAACTTCCATTTCAGTTCAGAGATTATATAATTCGAGAAAGCCATTATCTCATGAACCGAAAATCACTGCAGCAACTGCTAGGATCTATGGGCATTCTCAAGTACTAAAAGAAAAGGCAAAGAAGTTATTCTTCGGTCCAAAATTTCACAAAAGCTGTGATACATGCCTTCAGTAATGCCAGGAGTGGATTTGTTTCATGTTCCTTGGATTTTGCTGAAGCGCCTTTCCATGTTTCACTGGAGAAATGAACGAAGAAAAGTAAATTAGTGGGAACTGTATTGCAGGAATGATAAACTTGTTGGCACTAGAACTAGGAAGAAAACATTTAGCTCATCCAAGAGCTTTCTTAAGGTACTCACAGATGAATTCTGTCAAGTGGAGGATGGCCTCCTTTCTGCTGGCTGCTATCAAGTTGAACGCTGGCTTTACCTTTAGCCTCAATCAACTCGTCAGTAGCCAATTTCTTAGAAGTGCCATTGTTACTAGTGCTGTCAAAAGTCTCATTAAGCATAGGACTAGAAGCATTGACAGTCTGCAAAAGTTTAGGAAAGTTTGAATATAACATGTTAACAATAAATAGAGAGAAGTTCAATAGTAAATAATCAAAAAGGTGAGCATGGTCCAGATGTAGATGAGAGTAAAAACCCATTTGTGTATATCATTAATTGGACCTTTTTCTTAATGCAGCAACAAGTTACGCTGGTTAGTTAAAGTTAGCAGCAGAATACAAATATGACAACCTTAATACCTGAATTTCATCATTATGATCTTGGTAGAATAGTAAAAGTCTAATGCTATGTAAGTGGTTATGCAAATATGTAAATTCTAAACAAACATTTGATAGACATCATGCATTGGCGCATGACAATGAGTTGAAATTGTGTATACATGTGTTTCAAAGTTCATGCAAAATAGATAAAATCATGCTTTCTTCTCCAAACGTGAACTAGCTTGCTTCTAGAAAATTTGCTCAGCCACTTAAGGTCTTTTACCAAAATCAAAGAAACCATAAAAAGTCGAAACATCTCAACCTTTTAAACCTTAATAAAATCATAAAAGTCGAGGCCATGATAGCATGAAGTGACTAGCTAAGTGAACTTGGGAAAAGATAAAGCTACCCATCTAAAGATAATATTGGCTTTTGAATCCACTAACATACTATACCGTAGCTTTGTCTGATTCCCATTACCCTCATCAAAACCAACTTATACTTGTTAGGTCTCTATCCCACACACTGCCAAGAAACAATGTAAACCCAGGATCTCAAACCAAACCCCAACCCGCCCAAAAGAGAAACACCACAATAGTATTAATAGTTAGTTAGTTATACCTAGAGAACTAGGGGGTTAGATACTCTCAACTTTGTCAGAATAGCCTTACTTAAGAACCTCTAGCACATCTGCAAAATCACATGCCCTCCCCTTATTTCCTCCATAAAAACTTTAAATTTCCTTCTTCTTTTTTTCAATTAAAACTTAATCTAGCCATTACAGTACTAACAGTGATAGATGCCAACGAAGTGTTAATAACAAAAGAAGTGTTGACAAAAATATACACATCCCTCCATCATTAGGGCATGTATGACGAGATGAGTTTGCAAACTTCAGATTGTGGTGGAAGTCATGAACTCTATTTACCACACATTTGACATATGTACACCCCAAACCAATAATGAGTGCATTAAGTGTTTAAGACAAGCACCAGCGGAAATAAACCTTCAAATCATAAGATTAATTTTTGTATGTAGAAAGCAAATGCAGGAACTTTGCGACTAAACCTACATCAACATTATTAAAGTTTACCGCTTAACAAAAGCTTACCCCATTTACTGTTGATGAGGCCTTAACTATTACATTAGTGGCAACGGTCGCTCTTTCTTCTGAGGCACTTGAAATTTCCAAAGATGCGTCCCGAACTTTCGGACCTGCTTTGTCGTCTCGCAGTGTGCTGGACTTTTCTGATATTGGATCAGCTACCATGACTTCAACTGGCTCATTTATCAATTGAGCATCTTTTCCATAAGAGGTTATTATGTCCTGTTCAATTTCTGTTTCTTCGGATGTTTTTGCTACATTGACTGTTTCATTTAATCCTGAATCCAAGTCATCTATTTTCTTAGAAATGGGCCGCAGGGGAAATTGCTCCACCAGTAGTTCTATTGTTTTAAGAGGTTTGGCTTTTGATGCTTCCAGTTCATTTGTTCCACTTTCAACATTCAGACTCTCTGCTACCACTGACTCCGTAGATATTGGTTCTTTGTATGTTTCATCCTCTTTAACTGTAGGATGACAAGCATCGAGCCCACTGCTAAGACTCTCATTCACAGGGTCAGAGATGATCTCAAAAGATTCTAAAACTCGTGAATTGGTATTTTGATGATTGACAGAGAAGTCGTCAAGTAAATCAGATTTACCAGAAATTTCATTTTCTTCAGTTGTCTCATAATCACCAACCATCTGTTCATTGCGCAGCTCATAATCAAATCCATTGATCCCACTAGAGTATGAAACCTCATCCTTGTTTATTTGATGATCAGATTCAGAATCAATTATGTACGATTCATCAGATTGTTCAAATCTTTCATTGAAGTCCCTTGTGCTAGTTTGTGGTCCATCATTTGCAACCTTTGCTTCAGCTACATCAAGCTGTGTGTTCATGCCAAAATCAGCTTCACTTTTACCCATGTAATGAATGGGTGCAAAAGTTGACATAACATGGCTCTCCTCGGATAAAGACAAACTTTGTGGTTCAGTTGATATGGATCCTAGTGGATATTGTTCTGCAAACTGGACATCACTTTGCTCTCCGGGAGGCAACTTAGCTGGACCTAGAACTTTATTTTCCTGAATTATCTCCCGAACTATTTCTCGTACTGTGTAGAAAGAGCCACCAACTTCCTTGTGCGTCAGATTAAGTGACGGAAAATTCCCATTGTTTGACGTCTGATACCTGCAATCAATAAAGGCAAGTGCAGATAAGATGCCATTCTATCGATCCAACTGCTGTTAAGTAAGAATTGGTGCTCCAAAGAAGATTGAAAATTTTACTTCCCTAGCACCTTCTAAAGAGGTTCACCTAGGTATAGATGACCCAAATAACAACCTATGAGAAACTGATCGTTAACATTTATCCTATTATTACATTTTATATCTTCATCATGGAATTAGCTTATTTATTCACCAACTTCTTATCTTTCTTTTTAAGTTCTTATCAGAGTAAGCAGCAGTAGATTAAACCTTTTTTACAAGGAGAGCAGTAGATGGAACCTACAAGAATCTGTCCCAATTGAGTATGAATATGCATTCACATATGCAGATACACACCAGATGTAGGAAAGGAGTGGTTGTTTTGCTGTTTGACTACAAACGAGAAATGGAAGTGCATAGTAGATAACCCACTGATAGTTAGTTTCAGGAGCTGAGGGTTTTGGCGGAGATAATATATCCCCTCTTCACGGGATACGTGCGTTTTTCTACCTCCACCTCCCCATCCACCCCTTGTTGCTCTCGTCCCCCTTCATCAGTAAATGTGTTTAAGAAGTGATTTTACTCCTTTGCTCTTCCATCAGCCCATTTTGCCCCCTCCTCAGTGCCCCCTCCCCCCCCCCCAAAACCCCCACCCTCACCCCTTTTCTCCCCTACCACCCTTATAACTTTATTTTTCATCTTATATTGCCTTTTTTTATGGTTGGTATTAGTCTACGACTTACTTAAGTGTTTAATTATACTAGATTACTATGCCATGCCTATTTGCCTGTGCTAAAAACTACAATGATTTGAGACATTCAGGCCAAGGACATTTCCGTAACAAAAGTTTGATCCAACCATTATCCTGCCCATCCAAACACGGGATAAAGTATTACAAATCATTCCATAATCTCTCACAACAAGCTGATGCCTTTGCGATCACATTTTATCCATCATCAGTAGCAAATGACCCTAAAATAGTGGACCTGAGAGTCCATGAAAGATCCAAAAGTAAGAGTGTGTTTATGGATTTTGCGTGTTGACCATCTAACAGGAGGAAGAAAGTGAGATGTTTAAGTGTTCTGGCACCCTAAAGTGCCCTATCAGGCTCAAAATAGTTGACATGATTATTTTTTTGTAGTTGATATGATTTGAAATTGGAGATTAACTGTATCATTTAGTCGTGACTTATTAAAAATGCTAATTAAAAATTTAGAAAATCTAACACTTTTAGTAGATAGAATTTAGTATACTCTCAACTATTCGAGTTTTATTTTCAAAATATGAGCTAATACCCCTTAATTTGAAAATTCAAAGTTTGGCAATTTTCATCTTAAAAATCAACTGCACCACATAAATGAGAGAATATTACATTGCAACACTGCTACACAACTTTGAAGTTTAATGCTGAATATGAGAGAAATGAGGGGATGATGCCAACCGATGTTTTAAACATATTGTGAAGCTGAATAGGAGAACTGTGAGGGATAGAAAAATGACTCTACATGCTACTTAACAAAAAGGATTGTACATCCCAAGATGTGGACAATTAGCAAGGTTAAAAATAGAAGAGCTTTTGATGGAAAGGGGTTATCGTTCTCCCAAATGTCTAACGTCTTCTTGTTGTTTTTGAATAAATTTCTAAGCACACATAGGATTTCTACATCTATAAACTAAATTGGATTTCATGGTAGAAACCAACATAGTTTTGCAGCTCTAATTTCTGCTCTGCGTACTTCCCATAAACCAGAGAAGTCTCTTCTAGTTCAATGGAACCATATTTACTTGCAAAGAAACGACAGGATGGAGCACATGTCTTGCAGTTCAACTTAGAGGGCTGCTACCTTTTCTCATCTATAGCTATCTAACATTGCAATATACTTAATTGTTGTTTGAAGTCAGCAAGCATATACCAGATGACTTAACCAGGTACTTGTCACTGCGTAGTATCTACATTCACCTTACCATCCAAAGGTTTAATTATCACTATGACCCATCATATGCAGCGAACATCAATTAAATATAATTACAAGGGGCAATGTCAACCAGTTGTGCATTTCCATCTCTGCCCATTTGCCAGAAGCCATCGAGGACACCTAGAACTAGGGTCCGCGGAAGTCTTAATCTGTCAAATTCGATAATACTATAACATAATCTTTAGGTCAAAAACCAACTATGTATCGGATACTCTTAAGGAAAATATCATTCAAAAGCCTGCTTTTGGCAAAGTTCACACACAGATAATAAGAGGGATTCATTAGCTAGACTAAAGCATCTGAAGAATTTGAAAGAAGAATAGGTTCCGAACTACTAGAACTGTGCAACACAGGTGTTGTTCTAAACCCTAAACATATTGGTCCAAATCAACTTGACTTGGCAGAAATTATCAGAATTGCATGGTTTATAGAAGTAATGATAAGGTCACTTACTTCTTTATAAAAGTTTCAACCATAGTCTTTCTCTCCTCTTTCGAACGCCTAATCCTAGTCTTCCTGCTGCCAGAGTCATTGTAAGTAGCAAGGGCAAATGTTTGCCCAACCCAACCACCCTTAATTGTCTGCATGTTTAACTTTCAGCTACTCATGTAAAGCTGAAATTCTGAACAATAGAAAAGGTTAAGCTTTAATACCAAATTATGGAACTCCAGAGCTGAATTAACAAATGAGGGAATCCATCACATTACACAGAGGCTATATAACATGTAACATAGTACAGAAGCACTTAAATTTCTAAAGGACTATTCGGAAACAGTAAACTTACAAATACTCTTTTTCAATTTCAGCTACAAATACTACTCCTTTTTTCCAAATCTCAACAAAATCATGTCCAAACGCCTAAAAGTCTACAAAAAAATCAATACTTTCTTTGCATCTGTAACAGATAAGTACAAGAACACTGTCAATAAGAACAGGTAAATGAAACCCCAAAATACAATAATGAGATATCGGAAGTGAAAAAACAAAATTGGACTACCAAGATTATCATAAAATCATTAAGAAGCTAAAACCCCACCAAGAAATCTTTCTGTTATTTTCCTATTCCTGTATCTTTTGAGTTCTGATACTCATGAATCTAATCAAAATGAGCAACAAAAAAATAAAGGACTATAACCCCAATTCCGCATTCAGATTTTCCACAGTTCCATGAAGCAAAAAAAATTCAGCTAAGCAGTTTAAAGTTGTATCAGCCAAACAAAAAAAAAAGGATGGAGATAAGAGATTGTAGAGTAAATTTTACCTGGATTTTTTCTAGAAAGGAAGTAAGAAGTGAGGGGTTTGAGAGTGATAAACCCTACACTGCTGTGTTGAGTCCAAACATTCCCATTTTCTATTGGTCCAGCGAGAGAGCGGGTTAATTATTTATTTTGAATTTTTTTATTGAGCTTTTGAAACATGAGGGTGGAAAAAATGAATTAAAAACCAAATTCACCTTAATAATCGAATTTCTAACTTAAACATTTTTCACGCACGTCTTCTGTCTTCGTATGTTTCACTAAGCTGTACATGGACCGGATTGGTTCTGTATTTATCAAAACCGAACCAAACCAGCTATATTGATTTGGATTCGTTCGATTCTGTTGGATTTTTTGGGTTTTCGGGTTTTTTTGTTACATGAATATTATTTTAATCTTACTTTGTTAAAATTATAGATAAAGTTTTGATAAGTTAATATATATTTAGTAAATTTTGAAAAAATTGACAAACACATGATCTATTAAAATATTCTAATGGGAGAATTTTTTTTAGTAAGACATAATGTTAATTTTCTTAGTCGTCTAACAATAACTTTCGTTAATGCTTGCTTTCAAGGTTAACACATGAGAGGATCCCAAATATTTTAATATTTTTTAAAGAAAATTCAATATAAAGTCTTAAAAATATATATATAAATTATATATTTATATGCGGTTTGGTTCGGGTTTTTTTACTTAATACCAAACCAAGTCAAACCAAATCTAGTCGGGTTTTTCTAATCGGTTTGGTTTGATTTTTCAGTTTGGTGCGTTTTCCGGTTCGGTTTGAACACCTCTATTTTTCACGCCCTATATTTTAGTAAGGGAAGTGTTGTAATAGCTTGTTAATATTAATTTTGTTTCACTTTATGTGACATTATTACTATTGGCGAGTCAAATAAGGTTATTCCTGACTCATCAATTATTATAACTTATAGTTCTTTTTATATATGCAAATTTTATAGTACAAGTTTTGAAATTTAAAATTTTATGTCCGATTCACATAAAAAAATTTAATTAGTTTGATCTTCATACTCCGAAAAGAGCCAATGTCACATTAGTACTTTATAATATAAAGGTTTCAAAAGCATTATTATGAGTGACATTTTAAATCAGGTATAACAACCTCACCTAGGAGCCTTTTTTTGTTTGGGGGTGGGGGTTAATTACAACTTTTATATGCCAAGGAAAAATACATACAAGTAAAACAAAAACTATTAACTGGGGTAAAAATTCAACTTCCTCAACTGTCCAGCAATCTTCTTGTTGTAATTCCTTCGACGGTGCATGTCCTCGACTATATTGCTAATTACTTCAACACTTATCAGTTTCTCTTTAAAAGTTGTTTGTTTTCTCTCTTGCCACACATAGAACACACTCTCAATCAATATTTTTCTTTAATTCTTAGCTGCTGTTGCCTAATTATTATTATTCTTATAATATTGAAGTCTTTGATAGATACTTGCAAAGTTGCACTTGTATGTGTGGGATTCCGCCATGAGTTTATGTGAAAATATTATTTTTTTAATAGGAAATACAAAACAATTCAAACATTTTAACTTCCGCTCCGAGCAATATAAATGTGCAATTTTACTAGTTATCTTTTATAACTCCCTCCTCTGCCATTGAAAATTAACAGTTCTTAAAAAGAATATGAATGAAAATCTTCAAGAATCGTTAACCATAAATTTCGGAGACTGTTGTATCTTGTAGCTAATTAATAAGTACCTTCATCTAACCCATCCGTTTGTCACCTGTAGCTATTCAAATGTTTGAGGCAAATTCAGTGGATTGATCTTGGTATATGTACATATTTTATAGTTTTTTCATCATATACACAGTTCAAACCTAAAATGTATGTATTCAATTGAACTCGCAAAACCAACCCTAAAGCCGGCCTCTATTCATGTTCTCTGCTTACTGAGAATTTGACTGTCAAGATTGAATTCTAAATATATTTATTCCAGCCAGTCAGAGGTACGAACAAATTTTAAAAAACAAAAACCAAACACTGCTGTGGCAGGAACTGTCTCCCCAACTCATAAGCGCAGAAGATTCAGAGAACCTTCCAGAGCATAGTAATACGAATTTGCATTTTGCTTTATTGCATAAGAATGTATATACACTGTCGAAAGAATACAATTTCTGTAGATGCTCTGCGCGTTTCAAATATTGCAGAAATGAAATCTCCACTAGAGATTGTGCCTCTTGGAATCAGAGACTTGTAACAAGCCGCATAAGATATTCGTTACAAAAGCTTGCAAAACTGCTTGCGAGCCACACATAATGTACTCGCTCTTGCTAAGCCTAACTCGCTCTCCCTCCATATGAATATATGCAGTTAGGTCAGTCTAGTATGTCAGTGTCCGTATGTTGATGCAGTTAGAAAGAATTATAACCACTCCTTTGTTGGCGTCGTTCTCTTTCATCCACAAGCCCAGAGCAAAAATGAGCTTGGTTGCCGTGTTAGGAGCCAAGTGGTTCACAAATGGTGTCAAAAAGCTCTTCTAGCCAAGATGTGTTATCCTCCCAGTGTCTTTTGTTTATATCCGTGTTTCATTCTTTCGAGTAGTTTCTCTCTTGTCTTTCTCTTCTTGTCCATTTTTTGCCTGTATCTCTCTTCTCTCTCCCTTTCATATATCCCCTGCCAATATACCTCTCCCGTTAAAGGCCACAACCACGTTTCATATGGATGGACATTGTCATCAGCAGCTTCTGCCAAGTCTTCATCCATACTCTTCAACAATGTTATGTTGAAGTACTTTGCCCACATATATCCTTTTCGCTGCTCAACGGGGTGCTGCTCTTCCAGCACACCTGAGTGAGGATTAATGTAAACCATCTGCCGTGCACTGTGATAGGCCCAGACATTCACCAACAGTTCCAAAACCCGACAGTAACAGTGCTGCTTCTGTTGGTCGGAAACAATCAAACATAAGAAGTCATCCCTCTAACCTGCATTACTTTGTACCAAATATAAACTTATACTAATGCAACTTATGTCTATAGGCTTACCTCAAATGTTGAGATTGCCAATATACAATGAGTCCTATTGTTTGAATTCACGTGCAAACCATCCAGAGCATCGACAAACATCCTGGAAATCAAACCATTTCAGTTCAAATATACAATTCATATTTTGAACTCGAATATACAAATTTATGCAAGTAATGCGACCCACTGCTTAAGTATGTTTGCTGCCTAGATTACCTGGAAAACATAATGAACTCCAGAAATGAAGAGGTTGGCATAACCCAGCTATGCAGTGCTGACCATCTCCCACCATCTTCTGGCATTGGTGGGAGAGCTTCTATATGTGACGGTAAGCCATACATTCTACGAAATGTCTCTTGGAAAGCAGTTCTGAAAGAATGTTAAAGAATGAGAGTTAGCTGAGACAACTTTGAAAGGCCAATCTCCATTAAAAGAAAAGGTACACCCGTCCCTCTGCACATAAGGTGAAGATATTTATTCAGAAGTGCAGGGTGCAAAATTTCCAGTTTCCTGTTTAACTCTCTTCTTTTAACATAGTACATTCTAGGACATGAACTTCTGCAATCTACAATTTCCAGCTTTTTGGACTTCAGAACATGAAATCTATTATAGTATTTGATATTAGATGAAACTAAATAAATGGATCATTCATCCAAATTTCTGTAACAGAGATCTAGATTGTTCAAAATACAAGAAATCTATCCACCAACAAGGGAAGGAGAAAGTGCTAGCAGAAATGAGTAATGTTGAAATAAATCAGCCTGTTCAAATCCCACTGTACACCACGTAATACCTGCAGTTGCCTCCATTCAAAATATCACACATTGACCAGAAAGTAAGGGCATCATTGTTTCCTGTAAACCCACCATCCACATCCAAATGTGCCCAATAGTATATTACATCACCTTTAGCCTTTGCCTGTATTGTTTCTTCTAGGGCCAGCTCACCATTTTTAGATAATGAAACCTGAAACATTAGTACAGAAGCCAATATGAAACTTGTTAACAAGAAAAGAGTACATAGAAGATTGTATGTGAATATGACAATGCCAAGTTTAACATTACAACAAGAACAAGTTCACACATCAAAGATTCATCAAGAACTAATAACATACTTTTCTCCCAGTAGCTCGCCATGACTGAAATCCAATCCAGGGTCGCTTATGAATATTATCTAAATGGTTTGCAATTGAAAACATGCCACCCATCTCACAGAGGATATTCCGGTAGTAGGTCTCATTCAAAAGGGTAAGCCGGCCAACTGCATCAACATCATCTGACCTCGATCTCCGTGCTTTAGTTGACTAAGAGAATATGACATAGTTAGAACCAAAGAAACTAGAGATGTAACATAATGAAGTAAATAAAAGCTAAGGGAATGTACTTAATCTGCACTAGCCGATATGAATAACATATATCATTGTATTCTTAAAAATTTCATTTAATTTTTCTGTACACAGAGACCAATAAAAAAGAAAGGAAACCATAAAAAACTGAAACATACAGAATAAGCAACAGGAACTCACTAGGCTCAATCCACGGTACAAAGAGCCATGATGCAAAAATGGCCATGCTCCAGCTCCATTATAAACCTCATAAATGCATACTGGTTGCCCAGTCCTTTCCAGCTCTCCTTCATCCCTCTCATTAGTTTCAAAACGAAGCTTTTCAGCTTTTCGAGCATTACGATATATTTCATCCCACTCACCAATGTCCTTTTCCATTCTTTCCTCAATCTACATATTGAAAAAAACATGCTCAACAGATCTTGCATCAAAGGGAATTCAAGAAAAATAAAAACATAGACAAGTAAAGATCTGCCTTTTCTATTTTTTTTCCTTTTCCTTTTTTTTTTTTTTTTTGGTTATGGTA